GGTGTTGCAAGGGACATTGTTTACAGTTCTGCATCTGTCATTCATCAATAAATTCAACAGGCCACTTATGCCCTCTGCAGTAGGAGCAACAATGGCAGAGGCATCCTAAAGGGTGCCACCAACTAAATGGATGGGCTAGACTGGTTAGTTTTTTTTTACGCAGGGTGGGGTCAAAGGCTGTGCACACGTAACCATCAGGGTAGCTGCAAACCAGCCACATGCATTCATTGAATAAAATCTTCTTCCTATTGTCCAGGTGCACCTGGTCAGTAATAAAAACAATGTGGGGCTGTATGAGGTTTATAGCTGTTAGTCATAATTTCTTCATTAGCATCAGCCTAGCATCCCCACTTCTTCACATCGCAAAGCATGGTTGTTGAGGGACAGTGCCTATCCTCTCCACTCCTGGCTTTTAACAATGATAGCTCATCATGCCTGCAGAGATGAGGTACAACCAGTATTATGGAACCACAAACAAGTTATATTTATGTCTAGTCTACAACAGTGTAAAACATCTTAAGGCACTTTGCGTGGCTATTATCAAACAAACTTTCTTGTTGAGTTACCAAAAGCGACACTTTTAACCTAAATTGTCAAGTGCAAGCACATGGTATCGGGAGGAATACATTTCTTAAATTCCAAACAAAGTCATTTCAATGATTTCAACAAAATGATTTCAATGAAGAGTAGAAATGAGTGGGGTATAAAACCAGCTTTGCACCCTATCTCATCAGTTCCCCAGCTGGCTGGAAAGATTAAAAGAGTTCCAGAGTCTCCAAAACCTTGGTGAAAGAATAGATTTTAAGGAACGAGTCTCCAAAACCTTGGTCAAAGAGTAGATTTTAAGGAAAATGAGAGAGGGATAGAGAGAGGTAGATTATCACCTGGGCTATCATCGTAAGAACATAAGAACATAAGAACTAGGAGCAGGAGTAGGCCATCTGGCCCCTCGAGCCTGCCCCGCCATTTAATAAGATCATGGCTGATCTTTTTGAGACTCAACTCCACTTACCCGCCCACTCACCATAACCCTTAATTCTTTTACTGTTCAAAAATTTATCTAGCCTTGCGCCTTAAAAACATTCAGCGAGGTAGCTTCAACCGCTTCACTGGGCAGGGAATTCCACAGATTCACAACCCTTTGGGTGAAGAAGTTCCTCCTGACCTCAGTCCTACATCTTCTTCCCTTTATTTTGAGGCGATGCCCTCTAACACAGTTTGTGAGGCAGAAATTTGTGATTCTAGCAAAATTGCAGGAGTTGGTGACACAGGTTTCTGGTGAGACTCTACCTGTTGTGTCCAAAGAATTGGCCAGCTGCTTCATGATAGGCTGTTAGCTGGGGTGCTGAAGAAGCTTTACTTTAAATCCAACCATTTGTCACAGATTTATCAGTTGTTTCTGGAATAAAATATGGGTTATTGATATTTTTCACGATATTTCTTCCATCTATTGGAATTCCGTTCGAAAACTATACCAATGGCAAGTGGGCAACCTTTAGTCTGATTTGGGTTGGAAATGGGATCTGAAAATTTAGGCCAACATCTTTTAATCTGCATAATTACACTTTGGATGCCTTTTAATTTTATTTATTGATGGGTTGTGGGTGTTGCTGGTTAGGCCACAATTCATTGCCCATCCCTAATTATCTTGAAGGAAGTTAAGAGTCAACCACATTGCTGTAGGTCTACAGTCACATGCTGGCCAAATTAAATGATATCTTTGTGATTAAATTAGGAGCACCGAGGAGATCATGCCTTCATATTTGCAACTGGTTAAAGGTGGCATGCAGCAGATGAGGTGGTCTTCTCGGTGGACTTGGAGAGGGTAGGACATGCTTTTCTTGTACAAGGATCTCAGATGGATCAGTGGCAGGAGGTTGTGCTGTTGGGTTGAATCCTGATGGACATGGGGAAAATTGGTTTCAATTGGCTTGTTAACACACCAATTGGCTTCCTCTGACAGTGGGCACATTCCCCTTAATAGACCTTTCCTGCCCCTCACTAGACATGGAACAGTGTTCCTACCTGTGGTACACGATAATCTGAGACCATATGCTAACTTGCCTGCTCCTTTAAATTTGACCCATATTGTGGGTGATGGGGACAGTGGATGGATAGATGCATTTCCAAATGTAATTCTCCAGCCATGATATTGCATTAATAATATCCATTAATATGTTGGGTCATATGGTATGTTTAAAATGATACCAAACCACATACAACTCCAAGCTGTCTGTACAGGGTCAAGCTGAATGTTCATGCCAACAGTGTCATGATATTGGTATTTTTCCTTTAACACCCAGCTGATCACTATAAAAGCTAAAACATCCAAGTCCTCAAGTTATTCATTGCTTTCCTCTATATAGTTCAACACTGACTTTCAAAGCAAAATCCTTTTGAACTTCCATAATTTTACTTTATATCTTTTATAAGTAATGCCCATTTTACCGTAATATTCTCTTATAATGTAACCTCTTGCAAACGTCATAAGGAAAACATTAGTACAGAGGTGTTTTTTGATTATTTAATCGTTGCTTAATTTTGGAAAATAAATAATATCATTCTGAAGCTGGCAGTGATCCAATATCATTAAACGGGATATTGTAGACTTAATGCCTTTATCTGGAATGCTTAAGAAATTGACGATTTACTCAGATTAATCTTCTCCTACTCCTATCATCTCCATCTGCTTCTTACGAAGCTATCTCTAGTTATTGTCCTCTTTGCCCTACAAAATTACTATTCTTTGACACAGCTGTTGTAAAATTTAATCTTTGCTATGGATTGTTTTGCAGTTACTACCAGAAGAGTGGCATCCTTTACACAGAGCTTCTGGAAGTGAACAAGGTATTGAATCTTATGTGAAATTAATTAAGATGGGTTTAGACTATGAGATAAAGAATGCATCATGTATGTATACCTCATTATAAGCAGAATATATGAAGAAGATAGTAGGTTTAACAAAGGAATTCCTCATCATATGGATACAGGACCAAACGGAAAGTTGATACGTAACCATGATACTTCTTTCTACATTATTGCACCTGCATTTTTAGTAAGAACAAACAATTACTCTTTAAAGTGAATCTTTGATTTACAACATTGAAGATAGATGTAATCCATTACAAAATTACAGATACAATATATGTCATCTGATATTCAGCCAACGAACTGAACTATTTTTCAAACAATGCACGTGGCAACAATGTTCACTCCTGCAGAGCACAGAATCTTTAAAAAGCAAGATGCGGAGATCACAATTAAAATTCTATGACTGATATTCTGAGCAAATATATGAAATAGTTTATAACTCTATGATAGCTGAGGTGAGCAAGTAACAGCTTTCAATATATCAGAAGGAATATTTACAGTCTTCCAAATTTTAATTATAAAGATTACAGAGTTGTTTCTTTGGTATTTAGATGGCGCTGAGAACCTCACGAAAATGAATATTATTCCATCAGAGAGATTAATACTGGAAATTGGAATGGGCCGAAGGTACCACTCAATCTTTTTCCAGAGCAGCTGCTCTGAACCCTTTTTACATCCTTCCTCGACCGAACAAGTGAGCCAGAAGTATCACAGAGTTGTTACAGTGCATAAGGCCAGTCGGCCCATCATTGTTTTGCTTGCTCTAAGAAGGAGTGACTTACCACCCGCCACACCTCCCCGCAAACCTCAAGCTTTCTACCAGTAACTCTGCACATTCTTCTTTTTCAGATAATAATCCAATTCCCTCTTAATGCCTTGATTGAACCTGTCTTCTCCTTACCATGTAGTGGTAATGTCACTGGACTAGGACTCCAGAACCCCAGGCTAATGTTCTGGGGGCATGGGTTGAAATCGCTCCACTGCTGATGGTGAAATTTAAATTCAATGATTTAAAAAAAGCTAAAATAACAAAATGCTACTCTAATAGTGATCATGTATCCACTGTTGTTTGTTATTTAAAAGAAAACATCTAGTTCATAAATCTCCTTTAAAGAAAGAAATCTGCTATACTTACTTGGTCTGCCCTGTATGACCTTCCAGAACCACAGCAATATGGGACAGGCAATAAATGCTGACCCGGCCAACAATACTCACATCCCATGAATGAATAAATATAAAACTCACACACAGCGTATTCCAAAAAAAGAATTGTGAAACAGATTTTCCTAACATGTCTATTGCCTCTTTTTGCCATCACCTTGAATTCTTCAACCAATGGGAATACTTTTAGCCTATCCATTACCCTATCCAAGATTTTGAATGTTTCTTAAGTCTCCTCTCAACCTGCTCTTCAAGGAAAACAATCCTAATCTCTACAATCTATCTGCAAAGCTGAAGTGCATCGGCCTGGAACCATTCTTGTGAATTTCGAAACAGTCAAAGTTTTGTGGGTTTCTGTTGCCTCTGTCAGGCAGGAAATACCTCATGAATTGATATCAAAAACCCAGCTTGAGTTAAAATCTGTCATCTTCCATCTTGTGAATCTCCTAGTGAGTTCACAAGTGATTTTGGATGGCCTAATTGAACACGGTCCACTTGGGCTCCTATTTAGAGAAAAGCATCTGGCTTTAGCCAATGAAAGCTGAGGAACTAAAAACACCAAAATAATTTTTCCCAACACTTGCAAGTGTCCAAACATGATTACAACCCCTTGCTTTTGGTGTAAGTAAAGATCTACATTCACTGGCACTGGTCACAAAACTGACATTCTTCGTACATAAGCCTTTACAACAAGTCTCACTGGCCTCATTTGATAATTGTGTTTTAATTGTGGACAATTGTGGGAAGTTTGGCTCTCAAATCTACGCATACTGAGCCCAGATGCAGTATTTGTGTGGCACCCCAACTAACATCCACTAAAACCTGGCACAGACATAGGCACTGAACCTCAGACTTCATGAGTAGCCTGACTCTGCTTTCAAAGGCAAAAACAGCTAACATTGTTTGGTGTTCTCCTTCTGTTAGACACCAATTGCTGACTGTTTCTCATCATGTTAGTGATAACTCACCCACTTTGGCATCGTTCCTCCATGAGGATCATGGTAATGAAGCTGAAGGACCAGCACAGTGACGACCACAGACAAGCCCACGATGAACATTGTTGCTGCAAAGTACCGAGCTGGAACAACAACACAATATCATTTCAACTCCAGAAGTTTCAAGTTGTTACCTTTCAGTTTTTTGCTGATTTCTCTAATCTTCTGAAAAGATTGCCTTGTAGAGGAGCTTTGGTTCCACATCCAGTCCTGTGCTTCCTCACCCAATTGATTTTATGGATAAACTGAGGCAGTGAATTACATTGGAACATTCGACATGAAGGATGTTGTAGCTGAGCCCAGTCCTCACTGATTGTGCATCAACACATTTCCCAAAAAGAAGCCACTGATTCATGATCAAAGTGACGCAATTCTTATCAGTTAACTCATCACAGACCGGAATGATGATCTTCTAGTCTGCATGGCATTTATCTTAAATCTTCTTCTCAATTCAAGAGTAAATGCATTCTGGTGAATTGCCATGCAATCCTGGTTAAATTGTTATTAGAGAAAAAAAAGTATGCCCATATTTATTTCAAAATCAGTGAAACAATGGGTAACAAAACAATGCATTTTCACAGCAAAGTTAGAGAAAGAAAGATAGATGCAAAGTACTCACCCATGATACTACCTGACCCATTGGCTCTTTCTATTTTTGCCTATCTCCTTGAGGTTCAGAAGATTGTTCATGAAAATACAAATTAGCTAGAATTTTTCTCCATGAATTATATTTTAGGGTAGGTATTTGACTAATTTAATACATGAAACATAATAAACTCAGTGTGCGTGGAAGACCTTGAGTCTATAAGACACTCACCATCCTGACCAGGAAGTAATATTACCATTCCTTCAGGGTAGCTGGGTCAAAGTCCTGGAATTCTCTCCCTAATGTCACTGTGGGTCTACTTACAGCACATGGACTGCAGCAGTTCAAGGAGGCAACTCACCACCTTCTCAAGGGCATATAGTGATCGCAATAAATGTTGGCCCAGCCAACGATGCCCAAATCCTACAAGTGAATAAAAGAAAACTAAAACAGATGATGTGAGGTTGACGATGGAGGGGAAAAACAGAGTTTAATCTTTTAATCTTTTAAACCCTGTGGAATTATGGATTGTGCTTTCATAGAGTTCACAATCTGAATTCAACCTCGGTGATGTTTAGGAACCAAAACAGGAATTGGTTGCACATCTAAATCCACAGTTTGTTTTATGCATAGTTGACATTAATCTCTGCTCAACGAAGGATCAGATTTGAGCCAACGAGAAACTACATGATAGAACATGCATTGAGCACGGTTTGCTTAATGAATGTCCCCTCCTACATAACTCGTGGTTGTTTTACATCATTTGCATAATGCTGTAAATGAAATCATGCAGTGTTAATGTATTAATTAATAAAGCATTAACTTAACAAACAGTACAGGATATACTGTACACTCAAGGCTCATGTTAACTTAGCAGTGGAGTAAACAAAACTTCAAAATAGGTCATAATGTGTCCAAACTCAGTGACTAAGGACTTTTTCAAGAACTTGTTCTTCATATATGAGCCTTTCCTATTCTTTTATTTATTCTTTATTAAGTTTGTGTTAAAATATGTGAGGACTTTGGCCTCACAGTACCGGGGACCCAGGTTCAATTCCAGCCATGTGTGGCTGTTGGTGTGGAGTTTGCACGTTCTCCCCGTGTCTGCATGTGTTTCTGTTGGATGCTCCAGTTTCCTCTCACAGTCCAAAGATGTGATGATTAGTTGGATTGGCCTTACTAAATTGACCCAAAGTGTCCAGGGATGTGCAGGCTGAGTGGGGTAGTCATGGTAAATGTGGGGTTATGGGGAAGGGCGGATCTGGCTAAGGGCGCTCTTTGCAGGGTTGGTACAGACTTGATGGGCTGAATGGCCTCTTTCTGCACTGTAAGGATTCTCTGATTCTATAATGCTACAGGTTGTATGAGTGAGTATATTCAGGTAAAGTCATATTGACAATAAAAGACATTAGCTCCCATTACAGTTGTGAAGACCACTTTTTTTATATTTTTGCTTGTAGACTGAAGTGGGGAAAATCATTGCCTTAAAAGTCAAGGATCATTTAAGGATTGCTGTACTTTTTAAAAAGAGCAATTTATCCTTCTCCCATTATAAGTGTTGTTTACACAACTGTTCATTCAAACAGTGGGGGAATTCTAGTTACAGACAAGCTGTAACCATAAATACAGCTTCAGCCAGCACCAAGTAATTGATTGGTCTGTGGTATGGTGACCAGATTTCGATGATAACGGTCTTATGTCTGCCAACAATAATGTGATTGATTCCTAGATAACTAAGGGGTGTGAATTAAGTGTGAATTTCTTTTCATTCATTAATTCATCGGATGAGGGCATCGCTAGCTAGGCCAGCATTTAATGCCCATCCCTAATTGCCCAGAGGGCAGTTCAGAATCAAACACATAGGCAAGGGTCTGGAGTCACATGTATGCCAGACCAGATGAGGATGACAGATTTCCTTTCCTGAAGGACATTAGTGAACCAGGTGGGTTTTTCCAACAATTGACAATAGCTTCATGGTCATCATTAGACTCTTAATTCCAGATTTTTTTTTGAATTCACATTTCACCATCTGCCACAGTGGGATTCAAACCTGCATCCTCAAAACATTACCTGGGTCTCTGAACTAACAGTCTAACAATAATACAACTAGTCCTCCCTGATTGAGTAAGAAATCACTGGATTTCAAAAGGAATTGTCCCTGTTCTTGCCAGTAAGCAAAAAAACCACCTCAAGCCTGAAGAAAGCCAGTTTATTTTTCCCTCATCAATTACTGTAAACTGTGGTTTCTAACTAATAAATCCAAGAGACTGTAAATGTGAACCAACTGCTCTGTGCATCCTGCAAGCAAGTGAAACTCCCTGAAGGAGGAAGATAAAGGAGCAGGTCACCCTGACAAAACAAAAAGAATCCTGGGACATGGATGATTGAACTGCCTTCTCAGTCTTTCCCTCTGCCCATAACACTTTTTTTTTGCCCATCTGTGTCTGTCTGTACGGGTGTGTAGGAGGAGTTAATAGATGCATATTATTTATCTGTAGCTAGAATCTTTCTTTGTAGTAATTAATAATTATTGTTAAGTACAGAATCTGGGTTTGTGCTTTCTGTAAGTCTGGATCTAAAACTGATGTAAATTGGGGAATTTTGCGGTGCCTTTATAAAATCTGTAACATTTGTGATGACTCCAAAAATAACGGAGCTTGATTTCCAGTGCAGTACCTGAAGTGAGGCATAAAACAGTCGGATCTTTGCCATTTTGGAGTCTGAAGAAGACCATCTTATTGTGTGGCTGAGTTTTGTCAGCAAGGATCAAGTCCCATTGCAGTCAAGGAACAGGCTATAGCTGGGTCTACTGCCCAATTCAGGATGGCAATCCATCTCTGTCACCCAAAAACTACCAGCCCAATCCAAAGACAAACAGATCAGCATTGCTATCAGCAACAATATCCAGATCTGGGGCTGCACCTCGCAGGAAGATGCACCTCAATATCAAGGTATCCTCGAAGACGTTAAAATCTTTCTGAGGAAGCCAGGGTCAGACCCCAGAAACTATGAGTGCAGGTGATATGGAGTTGACCCAAAAGGCAATGAACTCTCCTGGCTTAGGCAAAACATAACGCTGGGAAGTGACCTTAATTACGGTCTTAAGTGGCTCAAATGACTGCCCAGTGGATGGGTATTCCACTGTGGGTTGATGGCTGGCACCCAGCTACGATGGCAGAAAGAAGCAAGCATCCCAGCAGAAGCCCTCCCTGCCACACGTCCAGCCTTCCCACCCGCCTCCTCATCTATCTCCTAAAGGTTTAACAAAACTTTAGCACAATATAACTTGAAATTATTTTGGTACCATCTTATGTACAGACAATTAGGAGCAGAAGTTTAGCCCCTCTAGCTTGCTCACCATTGAATAAGATCAGGGCTCTTGTTTATGTTTTGGTTTCCACATGCCTATCTACCCTGATGACCTTCCATTCCTTGTTCACCTTAAAATTTTTCAATGATCACCCCTTAACCACCTTCTGAGGCAAAGTTCCAAAGTTGCACAACCCTTTGAGACAAATAAGTTCTCTTCATCTCCATTGTAAAAGGGTAAACCCTTATTTAAGTGTTAAACAGTACCCCCTAGTTCACCCGCAAGATGAAACATCTTTTCTATGTCCACCTTGTCCACACTGATCAGGATCTTATACACTTCAATGAAGTCACCCCTCACTCTTCTAAATTTATGTGCAAAGATGCCCAGTCTGCTCAATCTTCCTTCAAAAGCCAAACCGCTCATCCAGAAATCAATCAATCAACAAAACCTCTGAACTGCTGCCAATGCATTCACATTCTTTCTAAAATAAGGAGACCAAAGCTGCATACTGTACTCAAGATCTGTCTCACCAATACCTGTGCAACTGAAGCAGACCATCCTTACTTTTATGTCAATTCCTCTTGTAGTAAAGGGTAGCATTTGATCACCCTCTTAATTATGTACCATACCCACATACTAACTTTTGGTGATACATGCAGTAGAACACAGAGATCTCTCTGCATCTCAGAATTCTGCAATGGCTCTCCATTTAAGTGGTACTCTGCTTTTTTATTCTTCCTCCAAAATTAACAACTTCTCATTTACTTCATATACTCCATTTGCCAGATTTTTTTTTGCACACAATCTAAATAACTGTCTGTAACCTCACTATTTTCTCTTCACAACAAATTTTCCTGTTTATCTCTGTGTTGTCTGCAAGTTTAGCTACCTTGCCTTTGCTTACCTTATCGAAGTCATTGATATAAGTTGTAAAAAGCTGGTGTTTTCCAATAACTGGCATCATCGCAATAGTGGGAATCAGTCAGTGTATGGTGAAGGAGTTTGCAAATAGACTTTGATATCCACAGAAGAGATAACACCAGTGCATGAAATGTTGCCTTGGTACAGCAACTATCAAATTGACATGAAACAGGTCCATTATACAGAGACAACAAGGTGCAGGGCTGGATGAACACAGCAGGCCAAGCAGCA